CAAAGCCCCCTCCCTTGTGTGGCCGCACGCCCATCTGGCAGCAGGAGGCGAGCAGATTGCCTCCCGCTTCAAGAAAAGGCTCTTTGTGCTGCCAACGGCGGCGATGCAGAGTGAATAACTCGGCGTTGTCGGGGTTGGCAGGGGAGTGCTGAGCCCTGCGGGGGCAGAGGGGGATCGGGGAGGGGATGGGGACCCCGATGCAGCCCCCCTACGCACAGCCGTGCGTTTGCAATGTCATATAACACACAGGGGGCACAGAGCGCGGCACGAGGGCTGCCGATGCATCCGTGGGGATGTGCCCACGGGGAGCCACCGGGGAAGTGCCACCCAGCACCGCAGCCCCAAAAGCATCAGAAAAGGCCCAAATACCCAACAGGGGCACAACCAGAACTGCGGGGCAGGGCTGCATGGGGTCGTGCCAGCATCAAAATGGGATGGGGGTGCAATGGAACCACGCGCCCCGAGCGCCAAGCGGCAGCGCCAACTGCACCCCTGCTCCGGCAGCGGCACGGGGCAGAGCGGAGCCACTCGGGGCTGCTCCATCCCACCCGGGGTTCAGGGAGCCCCTGGGTGCCCACAGGGCAGCGCAACGCTCCCACGCTCCATGAGCATCACACAGCGAGCGTCGCCACTTCACATCCACAGCCACCGCGCAGCCCAGCGCTGAGTGCTGCCCTCCGGTATGGCGTCCCCAAGCCAGGGGCTGCCCCAGCACAAGGGGGGGGGTCTGCCCTCTCCAAGGGGTTTTTGGGGACAGAGAGACCCCCGGAGGTGACAAAGCCCACCTCCAGCGAGCGCTCTGCCTTCAGGCATCGCCCAACGGCGCTGCAAGCGAGCAGCAGGTGACAGAACCGCGGTGCCACCCTGAGGGGCGGCGGGTGCCAAAGGAGCAGCAGCGACCCCACAGCCCGGTGGGGACGGCAGCGTGGGGGCAGCACTCACCCTTGTTGGCTGCAGCCATGGCTCTGCCGCGCTCACTCAGTTTTGGGATGACGGCGGGGCTCAGCGGCGGCTCCGGGCCATGGTGAGGGTGGGGGGGGTGCACAGCACCTGGAAGGGGGGGGGGAGCAGGGTGAGGA